GCTGGGTCTTCTCTTCCATTCCGTGGAAGACTCCGAGTGTGATACTGATTTATGTTAAACCACCTCCAAAGCAAGCGGAAACTGAGGTGCTGGCGGATTCCACAGAAGAGTTGCGAGGATGACCTGAACTCTAGGGTCAGTCCCCACCCCTTTGCTGAGCTCACCCTGTGCTGGATCTCATGTCTCTCCCCACCTCCCCTGCTACTCGGGAGCGCTGTCACTGCCCTGGCCAAGAACTGGGGCTGCGTTTGTTGAGCCACATTTCTGGGCCAGAAATGTTTATATTATGTATAATATAATATATATTATATATTTGTATTATATGTAATATAATATATATTAAACATTTATATTATATAGTATATATACACATATTATATAGCATATATATAATGTTATATACTATATTATATATAACATATATTTATATATATGTATATTTTTTGAGACAGAGTCTCACTCTGTCGCCCAGGCTGGAGTGCAGTGGCGCGATCTCGGCTCACTGCAAGCTCTGCCTCCTGGGTTCACACCTTTCTCCTGCCTAAGCCTCCGGAGTAACTGGGACCACAGGTGCCCGCCACCACCCCTGGCTAATTTTTGTATTTTTAGTAGAGACGGAGTTTCACTGTGTTGCTAGGATACCAATCTCCTGACCTCGTGATCCACCTCCGCCTTCGCTCCAAAGTGCTGGGATTACAGGCGTGAGTTTCACCATGCCCAGCCATGTTGCATTATATTCTATTATATATATACACACTTACAGTGGGCAGGCACGGTAGCTCACGCCTGTAATCCCAGCACTTTGGGAGGCTGAGGTGGGGGGATCACTTGAGATCAGGAGCTCAGACCAGCCTGGCCAACACGGTGAAACTCCGTCTCTACTAAAAATACAAAAATACTAAAAATAGAAAAATAGCTCATTTATAACACAAGCCCCCAGTATATTATGTTCTATGTCTTACCATGATTTCAAACAACTTTCGATTTATTTTCAGTTCCTGATTTCACCACCAGACTGGGCTGGAGGAATTAAGAAACGGACTTTGTCCAAATTTGCTCCTTCCTTCCTCATGCAAACGAACCCCCAAAGATTAGTCCACCAAGTCTTCTAGAGATGTCTACACGAGTCTGAATTTTAGGGTAAAAGTGGCTGAGGTTTAAGTTGAGAGTCTGTATGGCAAGTTCCTGACTCTTAAAGGTTTTTAGTTTGAAGAAGATAAAATGCATGAATCATACTAGGGCAGAAAGAGTTCACAATAGGTGTTTTGGTGACAAAGCACTGTTCTACATAGCTCAAAGGGTAAATGCCAATGCATATTCAGAATGGAGCAGGAAATTGAAAATAATTTGAAACCATCGCAATATAAAGCTTCTGTTTCATATCCTGCTCTTAGCAACTGAGTGACCTTGGGCAAGTTATTTAACCTTTCTGAGCCTTCATTTTCTCACCCTAAAATGGAGGTAACAGTATTGTCCCTATCACTCCCAACCCCCTTACTGTTTGGTAAGAATTACATGAGATAAAAGGATATGTAACTAGTACAGTGCCTGGGCACAAAATAAGAGTCAGTTAACATGCCACTCCTCTTTCTCCTCCCCCCCAGCTCAGCTCCTTTCCTCTTCCTTTATCCAGGAAACACAGAAATATATGGATTCACCGCAGAAGCTGGACCCAGCTCCTCAGATGCAGCAGATGGATGGGCACACCCTGTAATGACCCAGGATGGGGCGGGTGTTCTCCTGCAGGGTGACTGAGAATGTGAACCTCAGAATGAAATGTAAGAACACCAGGCTCCATGAGGACTGGCTACAGCCACAAACTGCAGGTCACTGTTCACAGGTGCTCAGTAGGAAAGAAAGGTTTGCGATATTTTTTCAGCCAGATGGAAATAGGCTTAAGCAAATGATGGTAGCTGGGGGTGGTGGCAGGCGGCCCCTGAACCCAGCTACTTTCAACGCGACGCCGGAGAAGTCCTCAACCTGGGAGCTGGGATTCCTTGAGCCGAGATTCTGCCATCTCAGCCCAGCCTAGGGGAAAAGAACAAGGTCATTCCCAAATAAAAACAAACAAAATACACACACACACACATTACACACACACACTACAGAGGTGGCGCCATTTCTCTCCCCTTTGCCTGCAATAGGAGAAAGGAAAACACTATGAGGATCAGATCACATGGAGTCCTGTTGGCACAGATCTTTATTTTTTTTTTGACGGAGTCTGCTCTGTCGCCCAGGCTGAGTGCAGTGGCGCGCCTGATCAAAGCTCCACGTCCCGGGTTCACTTTTCATTCTCCTGCCCTCAGCTCTCCCGAGTAGCTGGGACTACAGGTGCCCGCCACCACGCCTAGCTAATTTTTTTGTATTTTTAGTACAGATGGGGTTTCACCGTGTTAGCCAGGATGGTCCCAATCTCCTGACCTCGTGATCCGCCTGCCTCAGCCTCCCAAAGTGCTGGGATTACAGGCGTGAGCCAATGTTTCAGCCAGCACAGATCTTTTATTCACTTGTGACATTAAGCAAAACAACATGTCAAACAGTGATCAAGTCACTGGCCCTGAATGAAGCATAGACGATGCTTGTAGGAAAAGGCAATGGGTTTTCATGGAATATTTAGCAAGTCCATGTTGGCTGGCAAATACAAAATATTTTTCAAGAAGAAAAAGTTGCTACTGAGAAATATGCTCACTACAAGATAGTTTCTAAGTGATGCCTTCATTTTTTGACCACCATCACCAGGACTCAGTTGGTCATAACCCAGTGACCAGTCACTAGAGTCCATGATCAACTAAGACTCGATGGACGACAGCCATCAAATATGGTATTCCCTTTGATATTCCAGCCAACAAAAATTGCATTTCTTCTATAATACTTGGTCAGATTTTTGTATCTTCATTTCATTAATAAGGCAAGAGGAACCAGGAGAAACATTTCTTCAGACAAAGAAATGCATCTTACCATCTCCAATGTCATGAGATCTTCACATCACCAGATGGACCTCAATGAGATCTTCTGACCAAATCTAGGAGAAGAGATAGAGGACAGAATGGTGTGGCTGAAAGTGGCTGAGGAATCCTGGGTCACAAGGAGCCTTGGGGATGTGGACCGGGGCTGGAGTGTATGGAGGTGGGCTGCTGACTAACATGTGGACTGAGCTGCTGCTGGACCATTGTCCTTGTGTCGAAGGCAGGCAAAGGAGAGGGGCAGAAAGAAATGAAAGAGCCTTGCTTACCAGGCAACCTCATCAATGAAATAGTCACCTTAAGAACCGGTTAATACAGTGGCACTGTACTATAGAACAAAAGTAGACCAGGCTGCCCAGACCCAGGGGTGTGGAGCTGGGAAAGACAGAGGAGTGACTACTAGTGGGGTTTCTTTGAGGGGGAATAAAGGGTTCTCAGGATGAGATTGTAACAATGGTTGCATAACCGTGTAAATAGAGTAGAGACACTGAATCACCTAATTTAAATGAGTAAATTGTTTTGCACGTCAACTACGTTTAAATAAAGCTGTTAAAAAAAAAAAAGAATACGACAGATGAGAGACTGGGTTTTCTTTGAATTGCTCTGCAATAAGAGAAAAACAAACAAACAAACAAAAACAGTAATCAGGTCACTGGCTCTAACGAAAGTATAGATAGATGCTTGTGGAAAATGAGTGGATTTTTTTGGAATATTTTAGCAAGTGTCCATGTTGGCTGGCAAATACAAACTATTTTTCAGGAGAAAAAGGTTGTTGCTACTGAGAAATACACTACACTACCAAACAGTTTGTAAGTGACGCTGCTCTTGATCAAGTTATTGTCATCAGGCCCAGTTGGCCATAACCTCTAGTGACCGGTCGCTACAGTCCATGACCAACTGACGCCTGATCCATGATGGCAATAAAAATGATATTCACTTGATAGTCTAGAAGCCCCAGAAAACAAAAACAAACTAAAAAAATTTCTCTTCCAGAGAAAGAAATACGCTTAAGGTTCTGATTTCACATCCTCCTGTGCCACCATGTGCAAAGCACCTGGGTGCAGATCTTCACTGTGAAACTAGGAGAACATAGAGTGACGGTCAGTGCATTGGTGTTGCTGAGGAATCCCACAAGGAGCCTTGGGGACAGACCGCTGGAGGTATGGAGGGTGGTTGACAAAGCAGGACTGAGCTGCTGCTGGACCATTCTTGGTGTTGAAGGAAGGCAAAGGGACAGGGGTAGTAAGAAATGGCGAAAGATCCTTGTGGCTTCTAGCTAGGACAACCTCATCAATGTGAAATAGTCATCTTAAGAGTTGGGAAAGACAGAGGAGTGACTACTAGTGGGGTTTCTTTGACGGGTAATAAAGAGGCTCTAAGATGAGATTATAACAATGGTTGCACAACCGCAAACATAGTAAAACCCTGAATCACCTACTTTAAATGGGTGAATTGTTTTGCATGTCAACTACATCTAAACAAAGCTGGTTTTTTTCTTTTTTAAATACGTACGCCGTCAAGTACTCAGCCGCTGCAGATAAATCCTGCAAAAGAGAGAAAAGAAAAAAGAAACACCATGAAGATCAGATGATGTTGGGTTCTGTTGGCAAAGGCCTTTTATTCACTTGCTGAAATAAAACCGGACGGCCAAGCAGTGACTGGTTACTGGCTACCAAATAAAGCATAGAGGATGCTTGTGGAAATGGTGGGGTGTTTTTTGGTTATATTTAGCAAGTGTCCATGTTGGCTGGCAAATACAAAAAATTATTTTTCTAAGGAGAAAAGTACTACTGAGAAACATACTACCACAGACAGTTTAAAAGTGGTATTATCTTCTCGACCGCCATCGTTGTTAGTTTTCAGTTGGTCATAACCCCAGCGACTGGTCGCCAGGAGTTCATGACCAACTGAGCCTGATCCATGATGGCAGTCAAAAAGCCTAGTTATTCACTTGATAGTCTAGAAGCTCCCAGAGAAAAAAACAAAAACCAAACAAAAACATCTCTTCCAGAGAAAGCACACGCCTTACAAGCTCTGGATTTCATATCCTCCGCACTGCCATGGGCAAGCTCCTGCAGATCTTCCACAGGACCTAGGAGAACACAGAGTGACAGTCAGTGCATTGGTGTTGTTGAGGAATCCCACAAGGAGCCTTGGGGGATGTGGACCAGGGCTGCAGGTGGAGGGGGCGGTTAACAAGCATGGACTGAGCTGCTGCTGACCATATCTCCCTATGTTGAAGGGAAGGCAAAGGACAGGCAGAAAGAAATGGAAGATCGTTGGTTTTCTAGCTAGGGCAACCTCATCAATGTGAAATAGTCATCTTAAGAGTTGGGAAAGACACAGGAGTGACTACTAGTGGGGTTTCTTTGAGGGATGGCGAGGTTCTGGTGATGATTTATAACAATGGTTGCAGCAGCCGTGTAAATATAGTAAAAACCCTAAATCAATTACTTTAAAAGGGTGAATTGTTTTGGTATGTCAACTACATCTAAACAAAGCTGGTTTTTATTTTTTTTTAATACGTACGGTCGTCATACTCAGCTGTAGATAAATCCTGCAAAAAGAGAAAAGAAAAAGAAACACCATGAGGATCAGATGATGCTGGGTTCTGTTGGCAAGGCCTTTATTCACTTGCTGAAATAAAAAAACTCGGACGTCAAGCAGTGATCAAGTCACTGGCTACTCAAATAAAGCGCATAGAGGATGTCAGAAATGCAGGGGTTTTTTTGGTTATATTTAGCAAGTGTCCATGTTGGTTACAAATACAAATTATTTTTCAAGGACAAAAGGTTGTTACTGAGAAATATACTCACTACCAGACAGTTTGTGGGTGGAAAGAGTCTTGACTGCCATCTTCAATCAGGCCTCAGTTGGTCATAACCTCCAGTGACTGGTCGCTAAAGTCCACGACAAACTGAGGCCTGATTCATGATGGCAGTCAAAAATGATATTCACTTGATAGTCTAGAAGTCCCAGAAATAAACTAAAAAAATTTTTCTTCCAGAGAAAGAAATACATCTTACAAGTTCTGATCCCGTATTCCTCCTCCAATACACCGCCTGATGTGGGGACACCTGCAGATGTTCATCAGAATCTAGGAGAACACAGAGTGATGGTCAGTGCATTGGTGTTGCTGAGGAATCCCCACAAGTGAACCCTGGGGTGTATGGAGGTAAGTGGGCGGTTGACAAGCATGGGCTGGAGATGCTGCCGACCATTCTCCTTTGGTGCTCGAAGGCAGGCAAAGGAGAAGGGCAGAAAGAATTGAAAGAGCCTTGGCTTTCTAGCTAGGACAACCTCATCAATGTGAAATAGTCACCTTAAGAACAGTTTAATACAGAAAGGCACTGTATGGTTCAGCGACAGCATCTCATCACACCTCCTCCCCATTTGAAGGTCCAGGCAAATCCTCAGTTATATGAAATGTTACAAGATCATTTCACTTCTGTGGATCTACATACCCTGCAACTATATTTCTGATTCATTCCCGATATATTTCTGTTGTACTAAAGCATGCATCTTATCATTTTAATTATGAAGTGTGCATTTTAATGAGATTACATTCAATGAGTTACATTCAGGATACTGTGTCAATAATGAGAAAAATACATTCATAATTTATAATCTAAGCTTCACCTTGGGCAATGAGAGAAAAAACAGCAGTGTAACATAGAACAGATGATAAATAAATAATGATGGCAGAATACAATAGAATAGAAAACAGGAAGTCCAGAAATATCAACAAACCAAAAGCCGGTTCTTTGAAAAGATCAGTAACATTGATAAACCTCTGTCTTGGCTACCCACAAAGGAAAGAAAGAAGTCACAGTATACTAATAATATTAGTTTAAGAGGAGTCAAATCAAAAAATAGTAAATAATAAAGGAATATTCTGAACACATCTGTGCTCACAACAGGATACAGTAGATGAAATGAGCTAATTTTAAAAATCTATTTTAGAAGACCCTCCCTAGGAGCAGAAATAGATCATCTGAATAGGCTCATTTATTTTAAAATTTTAGATATTCAATCAATGATTAATACTTTCTCAAAACTAAAACACTATATTCAGATGATTTCACTGGTAAATTCCTAATACAAAATTCTTACAAAGAGAAATATAGTCTTACCATACAAACAAGTAATCATAACTGAAGTATTTCCTCAGTTACATTTTTAAAAATTATGTTTCCAAACAAGACATTATGGGAAGGTTTCTTAATAGCTGTATTCATAATTGGCCAATCTGAGCAAATGTCAAATCCCTCTAAAATAATAATAATAATGATGATAATAATAATAATAATAATAATAATAACTCTTGGTTCAGTGGCATGTGACATATGGCCAGCTACTTGGGAGGCTGAGGTGCATGGGATCACCTGAACCTGGGGCCAAGATCGCAGTGAGCCGTGATCGCACCAGTGCACTCCCGGGTGACAAAGGAGACTCACAAAAAAAATAAAATACTAAAGAAAAACAACTGGAAATCTAAGTGGTCAGTGTTACTTTCCTTGTGTATTTGTATCACCCACCATTGATTTCATGCATAAATTGGCTCAAATGAAATAAATGAAGAACATGACACAGCATTTACCGAGTTTCTCTAATATGGGGCACTGAAATGAATAAATTGAATTCTTTGCTTGCGAACTTAATGATTTAATTTCCACATTATCGTTATTTCAAATGCCAAATTTTGTTCCATTTCCATAGTTTTGTTGTCCAGCGCTTGGGACGGGTGGACAAACCTACAAGGTAGAGCAGATTTCTTATAGATTCTTGGAAATGTATTATGATAAAGACAGTGCTTGACATTGTTGCTGGCAGAGGACAGCAGAGAAATTACTAAAAACTTATTCCCGGAAGAAACTTTTGATCCCAGAAGCCACTGGCCGGGCTTTTCAACTCTACATTAGATTTGGGTTCTGGGAGGATTTTGCAAGGGTCATTGCACTTAAAACAGACTGTATGTGCAGGCAGACTTTTATTTAGATGAGACAATATAGAAAGCAGATCCAAGTCACCAAGAATGGCCTGGGATCAAATGCTACTTAGAATCTGCACATACCTGGGAGAGTGAAATGAACCCCTCTGTGCCTCAGTTCCTCATTCTGAGATGAGGGAATGTTAGTGGGATCTAAAAACGCTGAATCACCTACTTTAAAATGGGTACATTGTTTTGCATGTCAACTACGTTTAAATAAAGCTGTTAAATAAAAAAGAATACGTACAGAGGTGACACTGGGTGTCTGACTTTCTGCAATAAGAGAAAAAAACAAAACAAAACAGTGATCAGGTAACTGGTCCCAAAGAAAGCATGAGGATGCTTGTGGAAAATGCACTGGGTTTTTTTGGGGGGGATTATTTAGCAAGTGTCCATGTTGGCTGGCAAATACAAAACTATTTTTCAGGGAGAAAAGGGCCATACTGAGAAATACACTCACTACCAAACAGTTTGTAAGTGATGCTGTCCTGACTGCCACCGCCAATCAGGCCTCAGTTGGTCATATAACTCTAGTGACCCCAGAAAACAAAAAACATTTTTCTTCAGAGAAAGAAATATGTCTTACAAGTTCTGATCTCATATTCTCCTCCACGCCACTCTGAGCAGATTCCTGCAGATCTTCATCGGAATCTAGGAGAACACAGAGGATGGTCAGCAAAATACTGGTGTTGCTGAGGAATCCCACAAGAACCCCTAAAAGGAGTGTATGCAAGTGGGCGGGCTGACAAGTATGGGCTGAGATGTTGCCGGACACCCTCCTTGGTGTCGAAGGCAGGCAAAGGAGAAGGGCAGAAAGAATTGAAAGAGCCTTGGCTTTCTAGCTAGGACAACCTCATCAATGTGAACAGTCACCCCTAAGAACCGGTTAATACAGAAAGGCACTGTATGGTCTTTAATGGCTGCGCACCTCATCACACCTCCTCCCCATTTGTCCAGGCAATCCCCTGTTTTATGAAATGTTACAAGATCATTTCACTTCTGTGGATCTACACAGCTCCTGCCACCATGTTTATCATCTACCCTGTTGTATTTTTCAAGTTGTAGTAAAGCACATATCTTTATCATTTTAATTATGAAGTGTGCATTTTAATGAGATTACATTCCATGAGTATATCTGTGATGCTGTGTCAATAATCAGAAAATCTTAATTCATAATCTAAGCTTCACCTTCTTGGGCAATGAGAGAAAACAGCTGTGTAACATAGAACAGATGATAACAAATAATGATGGCAGAATACAATAGAATAGCAAACAGGAAGTCCAGAAAATATCAACAAAACCAAAAGCCTGTTCTCTTTGAAAAAAGATCAGTAACATTGATAAACCTCTACCTTGGCTACCCACAAAGGAAAGAAAGAAGTCACAGTATACTAATAATATTAGTTTAAGAGGAGTCAAATCAAAAAATAGTAAATAATAAAGGAATATTCTGAACACATCTGTGCTCACAATTGGATACAGTAGATGAAATGAATTAATTATAAAATCTATTTTAGAAGACCAAAAGTCTCTCAAGAGAAATACATCATCTGAATAGGTCTATAATTATTTTAGGAATTTTAGATACTAATCAATGATTAATATCTTTTCAAGAAACTAAAACATTATATTCAGATGATTTCACTGGTAAATTCTACCAAAAACAAAGAAAATTATAGTCTTACCATACAAGCAAGTAATCATAACTGGAAGTATTTCCTCAGTAACATTTTTAAAAAATTCTGTTTCCAAACAAGACAGAGGAAGGTTTCTAATAGCTGTATTCATAAATGACCAAACTGAAAGCAATGTCTAAATATTTGAGATATCCTTTACTATCAAAAGTGAACCCAGCCTGGGCGGAATGGTGAAATCACTTCTACAATAATAATAATAATAATAATAATAATAATTAACTTGGTATAGTGGCATGTGACTTATGGCCAGCCATTTGGGAGGCTGAGGTGGAAGGATCAAATTGAACCCAAAGTCAAGATCGCAGTGAGCTGTGATCGCACCAGTGCACTCCTGGGCGACAAAGAGACCTTTCACAAAAAAAATAAAAATACTAAAAAAAAAAGGACCTGAACTCTAAGTGGTCAGTGTTACTTTACTTGTGTATTTGTATCACCCACTATTGATTTCATGCATCAATTGGCACAAATGAAATAAATGAAGAACATGACACAGCATTTAATGTAGTTTCTCTAATACTGGGGCACTGAATGAATAAAACTGAATTCTTTGCTTAAGGAACTTAATGATTTAATTTCACATTATCGCTATTTCCTAAATGCCAAATTTTGTTCCATTTCCATAGTTTGCTGTCCAGCGCTTTGGGACGGTGGACAAACCTGCAAGGTAGAGCAGATTTATAGATTCTGAAATGTATTATGATAAAGACAGTGCTTTGACATTGTTGCTGGCGGAGTGGGCCAGTGAGAGAGAAAATTAGTAAAAACTATTCTGTGATGAAACTTTTGATCCCCAGTTTTTACCGTCGGCTTTTCAACTCTATATTAGATTTGGGTTCCAGGAGGATTTTGCAAGGATCATTGCATTTAAAACAGACACTGTAAGGTGCAGGCAGATTCCTTTATTTAGATGAGACAATATAGAAAAGCAGCAGATCCAAGTCACCAAGAATGGCCTGGGATCAAATGCTACTTAGAATCTGGCACATACTGGGAGAGTGAAATGAACTCTCTGTGCCTCAGTTCCCTATTCTGAGATGGGGAATGTTATAGATCTAAAAACGCTGAATCACCTACCTTAAATGGGTACATGGTTTTTGCATGTCAACCATGTTTACATAAAGCTGTTAAATAAAAAAGAATATGTGACAGAGGTGATACTGCGTTCAATTTTCTCTCTGCAATAAGAGAAAAAGCAAAACAGTGGCTGCAACTGGTCCCGAAAGAAAGCATAGAGGATGCTTGTGGAAAATGCAGTGAGTTTTATTTGGGGAATATTTAGCAACTGTCCATGTTGGACAAGGGCAAAACTATTTTTCAGGGAGAAAAGGTTACAATGAGAAATACACTCACTCACCAAACAGTTTGTAAGTGACGCCACCTTGACTGCCATCACAATCAGCCCTCAGTTGGTCATAACCTCTAGTGACCCCAGAAAAACAAAATAAATTTCTCTTCCAGAGAAAGAAATATGTCTTACAAGTTCTGATCTCATATTCTCCTCCACGGCGCTTCAGCAGAATCTTCAAGATGTTCATCAGAATCTAGGGAGTAGAACACAGAGGACGGTTAGTGCATTGTTGTTGCTGAGGAATCCCATAAGGAACCTTTGGGGTGTAAGTGGAGGTGGCTGCAAGTGGGCGGTTGACAACATGGGCTGAGATGCTGCCGGACCATTCTCCTTGGTGTCAAAGGCAGACAAAGGAGAGGGGCAGAAAGAATTGAAAGAGCCCCTTGGCTTAGCTAGGACAACTCCTCATCAATGTGAAATAGTCACCTTAAGAACAGCTTAATACAGAAAGGCACTGTATGGTTCAGCGACAGTATCTCATCACACCTCCTCCCCACGAAAGGTCCAGGCAAATCCTCAGTTTTATGAAATGTTACAAGATCATTTCACTTCTGTGGATCTACATACCCTGCCACCATAAAGCTTATCATCTACCCTGTTGTATTTTTCAAGTTGTAGTAAAGCACACATCTTTATCATTTTAATTATGAAGTGTGCATTTTAATGAGATTACATTCAATGAGTTACATTCAGGATGCTGTGTCAATAATCGTGAAAAATCTTAATTAATAATCTAAGCTTCACCTTGGGCAATGAGAGAAAAACAGCAGTGTAACCTAGAACAGATGATAAATAAATAATGATGGCAGAATACAATAGAATAGAAAACAGGAAGTCCAGAAAATATCAAGAAAACCAAAAGCCGGTTCTTTTTGAAAAAGATCAGTAACATTGGTGGAAGCTCTCACTCTTGGCTGACTCACAAAGGAAAGAAAGAAGTCACAGTGTACTCAATAATATTAGTTTAAGAGGAGTCAAATCAAAAAATAGTAATATTAAGGAATATTCTGAACACATCTGTGCTCACAATTGGATACAGTAGATGAAATGAACGAATTTATAAAATCTATTTTAGAAGACTAAAGTCTCTCAGGAGAAGTAGATCATCTGAATAGGTCTATAATTACTGAATTTTAGATATTCAATCAATGATTAATATCTTTCAAAAAACTAAAACACTATATTCAGATGATTTCACTGGTAAATTCTACCAAAAACAAAGAAAATTATAGTCTTACCATACAAGCAAGTAATCATAATCCGGAAGTGATTTCCTCACTAACATTTTAAAAATTATGTTTCAAACAAGACACAGGAAGGTTTCTAATAGCTGTATTCATAATTGACCAAACTGAAAGCAATGTCTAAATATTTGAGATATCCTTTACTATCAAAAGTGAACCCAGCCTGGGCAGAATGGTGAAATCCCTCTCTACACACACACACACACACACACACTAACTTGGTAGTGGCATGTGACTTATGGCCAGCTACTTGTGAGGCTGAGGTGGAAGGATCACCTGAACCTGGGGAAGTCAAGATCGCAGTGAGCTGTGATCGCACCAGTGCACTCCTGGGCGACAAAGGAGACCTTTTCACAAAAAAATAAAATACTAAAAACAAAGACCTGAACTCTAAGTGGCTGGGTGTTATTTACTTGTGTATTTATCACCCACCATTGATTTAATGCATAAATTGGCACAAATGAAATAAATGAAGAACATGACACAGCATTTACCGAGTTTCTCTAATATGGGGCACTGAATGAATGAACTGAATTATTTTGCTTAAGTGGAACTTCTAATGATTTAATTTCCACATTATCTTTTATTTCTAAATGCCAAATTTTGTTCCATTTCCATAGTTTTGTTGTCTATCCCTTGGGACGGGTGGACAAACCTGAAAGGTAGAGCAGATTTCTTATAGATTCTTAGAAATGTATTATGATAAAGACAGTGCTTTTGACATTATTAAGGGCAGAGGACAGCAGAGAAAATTAGTAAAAACTTATTCCCAGATGAAACTTTTGATCCCAGTTTTTACCGTCAGCTTTTCGACTCTACCTGAATTACATTTGGGTTCCAGGAGGATTTCGCAAGGTTCATTGCACTTAAAACGGACTGTTTGTGGAGGCAGATACCTTTATTTAGATGAGACATTATAGAAAAGCAGCATATCTAAGTCACCAAGAATGGCCTAGGATCAAATGCTACTTAGAATCTGCACATACCTGGGAGAGTGAAATGAACCCCTCTGTGCCTCAGTTCCCTTTTCTGAGATGGGGAAATGTTAGTAGATCTTAAAAACACTGGAATCACCTACTTTAAATGGGTACATTGTTTTGCATGTCAATCCATGCTTACATAAAGCTGTTAAAAATAAAAATAATACGACAGAAGTGACATCATGCCTGGTTTTCTGCAATAAGAGAAAAAGCAAAACAGTATCAGGTAATCATCCGAAAGAAAGCATATAGAGGATGCTTGTGGGAAAATGCAGCAGTTTTATTTGGGGAATATTTAGCAAGTGTCCATGTTGGCTGGCAAATACACAACTATTTTTCAGGGAGAAAAGGTTGCTACTGAGAAATACACTCACTACCAAAC